CGATTGGCCCATTAAAGCTGTTGAAAGTATAGATTAAAAATGGATAAAGTGAACAAAGTAAGGCTGGCTGATACCAAGCACATATCTACATCACACATAAGTGATTCTAGCTTACACTTAAACATTAAAGGTTGCCAACATATAGAATAATACATATTATGTACTACCCTCCTCATTATAAGGTGTGAGTATACTCCATAATTTTACAGTGCTCTACAGTGAAAACTGAAATAAATAAATTGGACCGAGTGAAACTGGCTGATGCATGACACATATATGTCTTATACATAAAAATTCATGCTAGCTTGCATTTAAAGAGATATCAACATGTAATATAGTACATACTTTGTACACACTTCCCCATTATATGAAAAGGGTCCTATATTTTAAAGTGCTCAGCAGTGCTCAAGTATCTCTGTGTAACTGTGAAGTATAAAGTGCTTAAATGTTAATAAAGTGCCAACATACAGTGCAAAATTATAAATAAAGTGCATGGCAGGATACTATCTACTGAAGACTACACGAAAACCTACAGTACTAGCTAATAAGTAATTATATGTAAGTAAGTGTTACCCACTTCCAATATAAATGGATTGATGCAAACCATATGGAGTATATCTAATTTTATAAAGTGCTTCTATGTACTATAAGTAATGTATGAAAGTGCATATAATATGTGAAAGTGCTAATTAAAAAGTACTTGACAGCCAATCCATAATGAGATTTGAAAATTAAGTTAAGACTGCGTAATGAATACATATATAATATAATACAAAAGTAAAATAAAATAAAGTAAAATACTGCACAAGCTGGATATATCTTAAAGGAATGAATGGAACAGCAAATTTTCATTAAAGGACCACTATAGTGCCAGGAAAACATACTCGTTTTCCTGGCACTATAGTGCCCTGAGGGTGCCCCCACCCTCAGGGTCCCCCTTCCGCCCGGCTCTGGAAAGGGGAAAGGGGTTAAAACTTACCTTTTTCCAGCGCTGGGTGGAGAGCTCTCTGCCTCCTGTCCTCCTCCGATTCTCCTCCTGGGCTGAATGCGCACGCGCGGCAAGAGCTGCGCGCGCATTCAGCCCGTCGCATAGGAAAGCATTTACAATGCTTTCCAATGGACGCTTGCATGCTCTCACTGTGAAAATCACAGTGAGAAGCACGCAAGCGCCTCTAGTGGCTGTCAATGAGACAGCCACTAGAGGGAATAGGGGAAAGGCTTAACCCATTGATAAACATAGCAGTTTCTCTGAAACTGCTATGTTTATTAAAAAATGGGTTAACCCTAGCTGGACCAGGCACCCAGACCACTTCATTAAGCTGAAGTGGTCTGGGTGCCTAGAGTGGTCCTTTAAGTCCTCTAGGGGGCACTGTGTCAAGTTCATGAATCCAGTATGCTTCTCTGTTTAATAACATTCAGCTTCTATTACCTCCTCCTCTCGGTATTGGTATATGATCAATAGCTGTGAACTTTAGAGAAGACAAGGGATGTTGTTGTGCTAAAAAATGTTTAGCTACCGGCTTGTCTGTAACAACATCTCTATATGCCAGACGAATGCTTGAACGATGTCCTCGTATTCGTTCGCATAATGGGGTCTCAGTTTTGCCCACATAGTTGAGACTACATGGACATGTCAATTTGTATATGACGAATGATGTTTTACAAGTAATCGTATATCTGATTTCGTACTTTTTATTAGTATGAGGGTGGTTAAAGAATTTTGCTTGTAGCATATGTCCACAGGTAACACAACCAAGACAACGTACACTTCCTCGATTTACTGTCTTGGATACTTTAGTGTAGCTCTTTACGGGGTCTGTCTGTACCAGCATGTCTTTCAAGTTCTTGTTTCTTTTAAAACATATAAGTGGAGCTTCTTTAAAGACTTTAGGGAGTGTATCATCTGTAGAAACCATTTGCCAATTATCCCTGATAGTTCGGGCTACCGAGCATGAATGATGATAAAAAGTCATCAGGAAGACTATTCTCTGTGGGCATCAACTTTCTGAGGTGCATGTGCCATTCTGGCCTCTTTCAATGCTCGCTCTAGGATATTTATACCCACGATTGAATTTTTTTTTGTACATTTCCTTTAATTGTCTTTCCATCATATCTGTATTTGAGTTATTCCTGATTACATGAAGGAATTGTGCCTTGGGAAGAGAGTCTTTGAGTGCACGAGGATGTGCACTCTGGGCATGAAATAGCATGTTGCCGTCTGTGGGTTTTGAATATAAGGAGAATTCAATTTGTTGTTTCTCCTACTCTCAATTTCAAATCCAAATTGTGTACATTTTCATGGCTTATATTTGCCATTAATCTAACTGGAACAGGTAGTTTATTAAGGTTCTCCACTATATCTGACGCCTCTGTGTATGTACCTGACCAAATAATGAGCAAATCATCGATGTAGCGGAAGTATATATATATGTTTTGGTCGGACCAATTGCCTCCATCCTTAAGGGGCTAAAAAAAAAACTATTATATTTTGTGAGATTGAAACTGGTGTTTAGTGAGTGAGTCTATATCTCTATATCTGTGTCTATATAATGTTATCAAGCAATAAACAAGCACGTTAAAGGTAAAGGATGAAATGCTAAACAATAATACGAGGGTCATCACATGATTAACTATAGGAATCTTGTCGTAAGCATAGTGCTACAAGATATATTTAACAAATAATAAGTATATGGAACATCAGGTGGTTAATGGATGGAGTGCTGAGAGATACAAGAGGAGCCATAATTTCTTATAAAATGTGCGACTTTCACAACATACAATGTAATATACCTGCCACTTTTTTGTCTCAAATACTTATGTGATAATGTCAATATACAGGGAGTGCAGAATTATTAGGCAAATTAGTATTTTGACCACATCATCCACTTTATGCATGTTGTCTTACTCCAAGCTGTATAGGCTCGAAAGCCTACTACCAATTAAGCATATTAGGTGATGTGCATCTCTGTAATGAGAAGGGGTGTGGTCTAATGACATCAACACCCTATATCAGGTGTGCATAATTATTAGGCAACTTCCTTTCCTTTGGCAAAATGGGTCAAAAGAAGGACTTGACAGGTTCAGAAAAGTCAAAAATAGTGAGATATCTTGCAGAGGGATGCAGCACTCTTAAAATTGCAAAGCTTCTGAAGCGTGATCATCGAACAATCAAGCGTTTCATTCAAAATAGTCAACAGGGTCGCAAGAAGCGTGTGGAAAAACCAAGGCGCAAAATAACCGCCCATGAACTGAGAAAAGTCAAGCGTGCAGCTGCCACGATGCCACTTGCCACCAGTTTGGCCATATTTCAGAGCTGCAACATCACTGGAGTGCCCAAAAGCACAAGGTGTGCAATACTCAGAGACATGGCCAAGGTAAGAAAGGCTGAAAGACGACCACCACTGAACAAGACACACAAGCTGAAACGCCAAGACTGGGCCAAGAAATATCTCAAGACTGATTTTTCTAAGGTTTTATGGACTGATGAAATGAGAGTGAGTCTTGATGGGCCAGATGGATGGGCCCGTGGCTGGATTGGTAAAGGGCAGAGAGCTCCAGTCCGACTCAGACGCCAGCAAGGTGGAGGTGGAGTACTGGTTTGGGCTGGTATCATCAAAGATGAGCTTGTGGGGCCTTTTCGGGTTGAGGATGGAGTCAAGCTCAACTCCCAGTCCTACTGCCAGTTCCTGGAAGACACCTTCTTCAAGCAGTGGTACAGGAAGAAGTCTGCATCCTTCAAGAAAAACATGATTTTCATGCAGGACAATGCTCCATCACACGCGTCCAAGTACTCCACAGCGTGGCTGGCAAGAAAGGGTATAAAAGAAGAAAAATCTAATGACATGGCCTCCTTGTTCACCTGATCTGAACCCCATTGGGAACCTGTGGTCCATCATCAAATGTGAGATTTACAAGGAGGGAAAACAGTACACCTCTCTGAACAGTGTCTGGGAGGCTGTGGTTGCTGCTGCACGCAATGTTGATGGTGAACAGATCAAAACACTGACAGAATCCATGGATGGCAGGCTTTTGAGTGTCCTTGCAAAGAAAGGTGGCTATATTGGTCACTGATTTGTTTTTGTTTTGTTTTGAATGTCAGAAATGTATATTTGTGAATGTTGAGATGTTATATTGGTTTCACTGGTAATAATAAATAATTGAAATGGGTATATATTTGTTTTTTGTTAAGTTGCCTAATAATTATGCACAGTAATAGTCACCTGCACACACAGATATCCCCCTAACATAGCTATAACTAAAAACAAACTAAAAACTACTTCCAAAAATATTCAGCTTTGATATTAATGTGTTTTTTGGGTTCATTGAGAACATGGTTGTTGTTCAATAATAAAATTAATCCTCAAAAATACAACTTGCCTAATAATTCTGCACTCCCTGTACTCTTGTTTGTTACTATCGCACAACAAAAATAAAGAATTTTTACAAAATCAAAAATTTAAAAAATCAAGAGGAGCCATCATCTCAACAATACTGCCAATTCTGCAGTACGATATTAGAAGCTATTTATATATACAAATCTTCTAAAAAGTGGTGAAGAAATTAAAAAGGGAGTCACCAATGGAATGTGACTGCTGTTTCTACTGGTTCCTGTGCTGATTGCTCCACTTTTTAGAATAGGACTGTAGCGGATGGCATTAGGCTGTCCTCAAAATTATGTATATTCCTATGTGTTCGGTTAAATTGTGCCATGTGTATGTGAAGCGTAGGCAGCATTCGTCTGATTGTTTGGTAAAATCACTCCAGTTATGCGAGTGAAACTACAGAACAATCAGACCACCCCAGGAGTAAGTGTGCCTTCAATTACCGTTCGCAACAATGTCGCAAACGGGTAATTGGCAATTCATGTAGTGTGTTCTTTGTCCTCTGGGTGGCCGCCATTCGGGAGACGAACACGTGGTGGCGGCGGCCATTTTAAACTCCTGAACAGCTGTGTTTTACCGTCGAGTGTCTGGAACCCAAATCGGACACTTGGTTAGGCAAACGCCGCTGAGACCTCCACACTGCCGCCAATTTGTGTAAAAACTACCGAACAGCTTCCCGTTCGGTAGAAAGAACCCCACGAACAAGGGGATTGTTCACGAACAAGGAGATCCTCCCCAGCTCTCATAACCCAAGCCATTCGTGTGTTTCCTTCCGTTTTCTGTGACCGACCGCAGGGCCAAAATACATGGAACCCTTTTCGGCTGTTAACCCCAGCGCGGTCGGTCTTTTTAGTACCTCCAGGAATTTCCCAAACCCCTGGTCCGATCTGGGTGATTTTTGGATATGTGTCTCACCCAGATCAAGGCTACCACGGAATGTAATATTTAAAGGGGTACTCCTAGGTTTAGGGGTACATCCAGAAAACAAGGGGAACTGTGTCCTGCATAATGGAATTATGTGTCACACTAAGGGGAGGTGATGTGTGGGTGGCAATTTGTGTATGATTGGTGTATTGTGTAATTACTGTAAATCCCTCCCTTGCATGCTTTAAAAGAAGGTTGTCTGATTAAAAGTTCAGTTCTGCTCCTGATGCTGTGTGTCGTCCAGTCATTGGGATTGATGTTAATAATTAAAGGAACACTCTAGGACAGGGGCGCCCAAAAGGTAGATCCACAGATGTTTTAAAATTACAGTTCTGTGATGCTTTGCCAGTCTAGAATTGTAGTTCTACAACATCTTGGGATCTACCTTTTGGCCACCCCTTCTTTAGGATATATAACCACACTGTCTCATTGAAGTGGTGTCTGGAACAGATGGATGGGGCCATGGGACTCCAGTCACTTCAATGAGATAAAGTGGTTTAAAATAAATGTAATCAACGTCATGGATAGTAGTATACATACATCTGTTTGGTACAGCACATGTACAATCCGGTGAGGAAGGTAAAAAGAAAAAATAGACATTCCCTGGAAAGCTTTCTCCGAACTGCACCCTGCTTCAAATAAGGTTTTAAACCAATGTTATAAACAAACAACAATGGGATAAAGTCACACAGAGACAAAGAGGAAGAAAATAATAGAAAATAAAAGTGGGTGTTAAGTGTGCAATAACAGTATGAATCAAAGTGACTCAGCTTGAAAAGAACATTTAATTTAGTGTGGGATCACTCAACCAAGGATTTCAGATTTTAAGGAAGGATGTGTGTGTCATAATGTAAGGAGGTGAGCTAATTTATAGTGATGGTCTCAAACATGATTGTTTCCAGTTCTGGATATTGATAATACAAGATTTTCACATCAGCATCTATAATGAGGTTTATTCTCTAAACGTTAAAAAGCAGTAAATTAAAACACAAATTGCAAAATTTGGACTAAGATCAAAATGATTCCTTAAAGGGGATACATCATCTGAATTTACAAAACAATATCGTTCACATTTTGGTGACATGTTTTTGCACTCCACTGCTGAGGTGCACTAATGTGTCATGTATGAGCTTGGTGGCCTCTGTGATGGTGTTGATAGGGATTGTTCAAGTTTATATATGCCATCACATTTGTCCAAATTATTGACTACAAGGTCAGGCTGAAAGAGAAATAATGCCCTCCAAGGAGATTAAGACTGAGAGCTAAGATAAAAACTGAGAGCTAAGATAAAGTAACTTAAAGTAAGTTAGTAAACTGGATCAACTACATAATAACTAGAGTGTGCCCATACCAGAGGCTCTGAAAACAGCCAAGCGCAGGCTGACAGCAATTGCAGATGTTAAGTGAATAAATGCCCTGTTTACCAAAGACCCTCAAATGGTTTGCGCACAGTACTGGAGAAACACTAAGGCCAGGTGGCTACTCGACCTGAAAGCAGACCCCAGAACAGGAACCAGTAATTATCTCAGTAGGCGATATCCAATCACGAGTAGCAATCTAAACAAAAAAATTACTGTGTTATCGAGAGCCCGATTAGGGTCGCCCAGGGACCTTTGGTTGGATGCCATGTTGGAGCCTCTACAAGAGCCCAAGTCTCTGTCTCTGTGAGTGTTGTGTATGTATGAATGTTAGATGTGTGTGAGAGCTGAGTGTGTATGTGGGTGAGGCTAAGAGTGCCAGTGTGTAGCTGAGTATGTGTGAACTGTCTGAATGTGCGTGTTTGCCCCCTTTTGCTTACCTTTGCATGGTAGTCCACGTGGTAGTAGTGGAGAGTCATCCCTGGTTTGGGGGGGGAGCATTCTGGCCTGCACCAGTACCAGGTGCAGACCACTTTAATAGCTCCCTTGAGGTCCGGCGCTCAGTTAATGACTTACTTAAAGTGGTCATCACTCCTCTGAACACGAGGGGGATCTTTTTAATTTTCCTGCCCAGCTCAAGGATTGACCCATCAAACCCAGACAGCGGCCCACCTGGCCCTGTCTCACCCTGGATCTTGTTCACCTAATGGTTGATACATACAGCTCTGGTTTTATCATATATGTATGTGTAAGCTATGCATCTCATGTTTCATATAAATTTAGCCTAATAGTTTTTCAAACAAAAAGATCCTGGTAATTAAAATTCAATTAATATATATTTTTTTAAACTGAACTATGTTTATATAAATATTTATGTTTGTCTTCTCCTTCATACATTTTGTCCTCTTCATCCAGCGTGTGTACTGGTTCAGATAACCAATCGGTATAAGTAACCAGCTTAAGAATCACTCCTGCAAGGACACCAACATCTGTCCCATGCCATTCCATTTGCAACTGATATGCAAGTAATACGAGGTCTGTCCAGAAAGTATCCAGCCAAGACATTTTTAAAATAGAGACGTTTATTGAAGAAGATACAAGATTCAAGAAACATGATGCTACGAACCTCACTTTGGCTTAAAAAGCAAATTGTGCTAGAGCAAGAGGCTTTACCTTCATCTTACCAAACTGAGTGAGATTCTTGGATGTCCTCTGAGTCAGAGCTTATTCCTGTGTGCAGTAAAAATGGAGGATTTAAAGGTCAAAACGATTGTAATGCAGAGAGACAGGAGTGTGTCCTGGAGAGAATAAGAGTGTGTGTGTGACTGCATGTTATGTGGACATATACCATGTGTGCCCTGATTTGGTAAATTTGATAAATCTTGCTGTTACGCAATGACTGGAAACATATCTAAGTTGCAATATATTTGCAAATCAGCTACTGTGTAAATTCTAAATTTCACCTAAATTCACTGATTAGCGAATAAGCCCCTAGGTATTTTGCACTAGTTTAACCCCAGCTTGTTTTCCAGGTTCTGACAAAGTATATACTGCAAAGAGATCACTACACATATTTTAATTACAGAACACCAAAAAACAGGAAAATTACTCTAGGCTGAATACACCCCTTCCTGAAGGATATACAGACATTAAATTGTTCATAGACCTATCAGCGGCCACCATGTTTAAAAGAAGATCATTTGCACCTTTAACAACGGCTCTCCGAAATGCCAACATATTGTATAAATGGGGATTCCCTACAAAACTAATCATCAAAAGAAATGGAATAGATCGAGCAATCCTAACACCGGAAGAAGGAAGGAAAATTCTGGGTGAATGGAACGTCCCTGTCCCAACAACTGACCCAAGAAGTTCGGACATGCCACCACCCCATAAAGTGGCGAGAGACTGGCAACAAATTCCATGGATCACGACAACCCCTCAAAGCCGAAGAAATCCTCATCCCTAAGCCCTCTCCAACTGCGCACATGGACACGTAACTTCACTAATTAATCTGGTTTGATGATTAACAGGTTGAATGTGTATAAGAATGTGCTGATTTATTGCACATCTCTGACGCAACAATGACCAAAAAACCCCCAAAAAAACATAATAAGCCCACGGTAGGCGTTAGGCCACCGCTAACTGTATAACTGCTGTTTTAGCTTTATACCTGCTTCCTTTTTTTTCCTTTCTTTCTTTTTCTTTACTTCTTCTTTTCTCATTTCCACCTTATACACGAGGTGGACACTGATTATCACAACTTGCTTACATAAAAACCACTAACCCCCACGCAAGGCTTACTAGGTAGGCCTCCACGTACCCATCTGCAAAACCTTGCACTAAGCCCGAGAGGCTAACGGGCAATTGTATATAGTTTACTTCCCCCCAATTCCACTCGATTGACCGTCAGGTCACCCTCCCACGGTTTAGGTAACATCCCAACAAACCTGTGCTCGTCCCACCCCACCAACAGATATAGTCGGTGATCAAACCATAACAAGTAGGGAAAACCGTATCATGCTGCTAAAATTTCTCTCGCTAAATACCAAAGGCTTAAATTCGCCCAACAAACATAGATTGGCCCTCCAGGAGGCCAAGAAACAAGGAGCACAGGTGGCATTTTTTCAGGAAACTTACTTTCAGTGGGGATCCAAACCCAGGTTTAACTCTGCTTGGTTCCCAGTAGACTACCACACATGCTACCACACAAAAAAAAAGAAGTGTATCGATTTTAATACATAAGAATGTTGTTTTTGAACTTGTACGAAAAATAAGTGACAAAAAAGGTAGATACCTTATATTACAATGTCGTATAAACAATCAACCGTATACATTGATAAATGTCTATAGCCCTAATGAAAACCAACAATTATTTATAGCTAATATGTTCTCTCTCCTGTCAATGTACAGTTTTGGGGAGGTAATCCTTGGAGGCGACACTAATTTTCTCCTAGACATCAATATGGACTCCTCCGCTGCGAGAACGGTAACCACATCTACTTCGAAACAGAGACACACACAAACATCCAGCATCCGCAGAACACTAACGACACATAACTATGTAGACCCATGGAGAATATCCCACCCAGCTGAAATTGATTACACATGCTACACCGCTGCACACAATAGCTACTCCAGGATTGACAGATTTCTAATAAAGAACACATCACTAGAGAGAATGATAAGTGCAGAAATCGGTATCATATCAAGGTCAGACCATGCCCCCATCACACTGACCATATCCGAACAATGCCCCTCCCCTGGCCAAACCGCCTGGAGACTAAATGAATCTCTACTCCATGACCCAGTCATAGTATCCCAAATTAAGACAGACCTCCAAAACTATTTCATAGAAAATGTTCGCCCCGACACACCGCCAAATTCTGTCTGGTTAGCACACAAAGCGGTGATCAGGGGCAGTTTTATAAAACACGCAAGTCAAGCCAAAAAAGTATGCCAAGCTCAATACCTAGGAATCATCCAAGAAATAACTGCACTGTCACATAGAAACAAATGCTCACCATCAGCCACGACCAAGAGAGCTCTCCTGCAAGCCCACACTAAATTACGAAACTTTGAACTGGCCAAAACCACATATCTATTACAAAAATACAAACACAGATACTTCGCCCATGGCAACA